AAAAAGAAAAAAATGCCATCTTGAAATTAATGACAACAAACCAGGTGCCTGTGACTCAAGTCTGTAATCCTTACTGCTCAGGAGGCTGAGATGTGAAAAAGTGAAAGGCTGAGGTTCTAGTCCAGCACAGGCAGAAACTACCCAGCAAAAAAAAAAAATAAAAGCTGAGCTGAATGTGTGGCTTAAGTGATAGAAAGCTATCGAGTGAGCAAAGCTAACCCTGAGTTCAAACTCTGATACTGACAAACAAGGAAGACAGGCAGGCAGACAGGTGGGAGGGAGGGAGGAAGAGAGGGAAGGAGAAAGGGAAGGAAGAAGGAAGGAAGGAAAGAAGGAAGGAAATAGAAGGACACAGGAAGAAAGAAAGGAAAAAAGGAGAAAGAAAAAAGAAATTAATGGAAACAAGACTCAATATTTATGAAATACAGCATAATCAGTGAAAAGAGACACAGCTTTAAAAATTCATTTTTAAACGGAATCACTAACTACAATCACTCATCTAGGCTTCTGTGTCAAGATGCTAGAAAAGACTAAATTATATGTCAAGTAAGTAGAAGGAAGAATAAAGTTCAAATTAAACATCAGTGAAATACAAATAAAATAATAACAGAAAAATCAAAACAAAAACTTGGTTCTTAAAAATTATTAACAAATTTGATAAAACTTTAGACTAAACCATTCACAAGAAAACTACAAATTACCAAAATCTGGAAAGAAAGAACATCATTACTAACCCTGACAAAATTAAAAGAAACATAAGATGAAATGAACAACTTCAAGTAAACTTCTTAGAGGAATTGAACAAATTCATATATAAATATAAATATCTAAGCTAACTTCAGAAGAGGAAGACATAAAAAAATTAGATAGTAATTTAAAATCTTCTCACTGAGAAAAGCCCAGGCCCAGATCACTTCACAAGGGAATTCTAGTATATGTTTAAAAGTAATATAAATTCTATACAATTTCTTCTTAGAGGCCAATAATGCCTACATAACAAAACAATAAAATCAAATTACAAAACTATAGACCATAAAATCATTAGCAAAATTTATCAAACAATCCAGGAAAATATAAGAAGAATTATATAGCATTACCCAGGAGTTAAATATTAATATTGGAATATATATCAGTATGCTAAGCCATATTAGTAAAATAAAGGAGTATATGATCATTTTGATAAACCAAAATCTGGCAGAAAATATTTATAAAACATATTCTTCATATAGGACTTAGATGAAAAAGAAAAACCTTTAAAACCTATTATGAACACAAATAACCCAATTCAAGAATGTGCAAAAGATGTAAATAAACATTTACAAGATCAGATATATGAATGACTTAGCAAGCACTATGTTAAAAAGAGAATGACATTATCAAGTTCTGGGACTGATGGGGAAAAGCACTGTTGGTTTGAATGTAAAATGTTATTAATAACTTTAAAAACATTTTGGCAGCTTCTTAAAATTTTAAATATATATTCAGCATACAATCTAGCACACACATCCACACATTTATATCAACATTGTTTATAAAAACCAAATAATCCAAACAGCCACTGAATAGTCAATGAAAGAAAAATGTTCCACAAAATAGTTCTATTTGGTGATTAACAAAAGAATGAATTGTTCACATATGGAATAATATGAAAGATCCTCAGATACATTACTTTAGATGATAGAAGTCAGAGAGAAAATACTGTATATAATATGCAGCCTTTATATGAATTTTCTAGGAAATACAAGTCTATAGAAATATACAAAAACCAGTGGAGATAAGGACTAACTGCAGATAGGTATAAAGGGAATTTTTGGGATAACAGAAATATTGTGACCTGGATAGTTATAATGGCTCAATACTGGGTATGTTTTCTAAAAGTCATTTAACTATAGTTACAATGGGTAAATGTTATGATATGTAGATCATACCTTACTAAAGCTATGAAATAAAGTAAGGGCCAAAGGGAGTGACATACTTATGCTGCCTTTTCTATAGGTAACAGATTTCAGGAGAACCAAAATACAGATAATAAAATTTTCCTTTATAAAATTCCAGCTACTAAATTTTAAAATGACAATATTATAAAAACAATAATTTTGTGATGGCCCTAATGAAAAGATGGCTCTCAGGGGTTGCTAAAGCTATTAGGAAAAAGGTTTATTGGAAATTTATAATGCAGGAACTAGGCTTATGCCTGAAACTAAATCATCAATCTTAGCAATGCTAAAGATAGGCACACATTTTATACCACTTGACATGACACATTATGCACAGGGCACCAACTGTCAAGGATGATTTACAAACAACAAAATAAAATAATCTTGAACCTAAGCAAACTTAAAAGCCTAATTAGTATCTTTAATTAGCATCTGGTGCCCCATGCCTGTAATTCTAGCTACTCAGGAGGCTGAGATCTGAGGACAGCATCTTGGGCAGGAAAGTCTAGGAGACTCTTATCTTCAATTAACCAGCAAAAAGCTAGAAGTAGAGTTGTGGCGCAAGTATAGAGTGCTATCCTGAGCAAAGTATAATTGAATTTGTGAAGAGTGTAAATAGTATAATTCTTTTTTTTTTTTTTTTCTTGTTGGTCGTTGGGCTGGAACTCTGTGCCTGAGCACTGTCCCTCAGCTCTTCAGCTCAAGGCAAGCGTTCTACCACTTGAACTACAGCCCTACTTCTGGTTTTTCTGGTGGTTTATTGGAGATAAGAGTTTCACGGAGTTTCCTGCCTGGGCTGGCTTTGAACTGCGATCCTCAGATCTCAGCCTCCTGAGTAGCTAGGATTATAGGCGTGAGCCACCAGCGCCTGGCTCAAATAGTATAATTTTTTAGAAAGACTAAGTCAAAACCCAACAAAATAAGTACCAAGAAATAGGTACTTGCAAGGAGTTGGTGTGGGGTATGGAGAGAAGGGTGGAAAAATGAATGGAAGAAGGGAGTAGAATGCAGGCAACAATGTCTTATATATACTACAGAATAGAGAAAAACAAGGAAAGGGTAGTGAAGATGTTGAAGGGTTGGCACAGATCAAGATATACTGTATACACAAACTGCTTTGTTAAATGACAAAAGAAATTCAATAGATAATCTCAAAATTAAGAAAAGTGAGGGAAGGGGTATGTGAGAATGTTGAGGGTGATACTGATCAAGAGGCATTGTGTTCATGGACTGTTCAATGCCAACTGTTTTGTAAAACTATTTAAATAAAAAATATTCAAAAAAAGAGCGTAGGGACAGCACTTAAGCTTTTAGTTCAAAGCACAAGGACTGGCACCAAAAAAATAAAAGTCAAACAAAAAAGTAGGAGACATTATTACAGAAAGGCAACTAAAGAGATAAATAGTCATACATAATACTTGTTTCAAATCTTGCCTGGGTTGTGATTTTAAGAAACTAGGCATTTGGGGAACAACTGAGGTAATCTGAATAATGACTTTGATTATATTAAGGAATTTTTAATTTTGTGATACTAAAGTGATTGCTTAATATTTTATGAAGCCTTTACTTGTTAAAGGTATTTGCAATAGAATGACAAAGTTTGCTTTAAAATAACCCAATAACTTTTTCAAAATAGGGTCTCATTATGTAGCATAGGCTATCCTTGGCTTCATGATCTGCCTGACTCAGCCTTCCTTCTGTGCGGGGATTTTAGGTGTCTACCCCCACACCTAACTTTCCAGAACCTGTTTTATGTGAGCCAGGGTGAACATGATATGAGACTACCACTCTACTTTTAGTGCTCTTTTAGTATTAGAAAAGGTTACTAGACAAAGATGGAAAGATAGGGGAAGTGAAGTAAATGAAGAGAGACCTCCAAATTCATGACAAAGATTTGAAATAAAAACTGATGTGAAAATCATGAGTAACCACATATCGTGTGTAATATATGAAGTCAAGTCTTTGTAGAGTGTCATATAAAGACAGAACAGAAATGAATGAAAAACGCCAGAGAGAGTAAAACGATAGAGTATCAATCATTTAAAGATATGGCAGAGAAAGTAGACTATCACTTGTTTCATAGAGACCCAAGAGAAAAACTGAACCAAATGAAGAAACAAACACTAACCACTAAGCATTCTGCTTGTAATTCTAAAATTTCAAATTAAATAGGAAACAACACATTTTGTTTCTTTTTGCAGAAGAATTTCAAAAGAAAATAAATTACTGTCTTTTTCTCTGAGATACCTGGTTTCTCACATAATGAACAACATACTCAGAGCATATTAAAATTCATATATTCCTTAACATCTGCGCATGGTAACCTACCTAGTGTGCTACCATGAAAGTGCTTTATCAGGTGCCAGAACAGCTTTAACTAATTAGATGTGGCATTTGCCTCAAAATATTCTCTGGAGACATCCCTAACCTGAAAGCCCATGGGCCTGTTTCCTCCCTACATGATTCGATTCTAGTACAGCACCTGGTTCCATGCTTCCACTTTGCTAGAGTTTCGACAGAGCAGGAAGGAGAGTACACTTCACCACTGCTGTTACAAGTAGTTGTATCATTTGTATCTGATTCCTAGTACTTTGAAGACATTACTGTTATCCAAAGCCTTGAAAATTTATCTCTCTAAAGTAATTTATAAATAATGAAAGTAATACAAAAATGAAAAAAACATAGGTACTGTAAATTAGTATTACTTTGATCTTCTATTATTCACCTACTTGACTTAAAGACCTAGTTTTATTTTCAAGGCAAAGTCCTGTCTACCATGAATTTTTATCCTTAGAACATTTCTACAGTATATTTCCTAATAAAATTTGAAATAAGTCTTATTTTCCTAGACCAAAACAGAAAGGTAAATACTTTTCAGTAATTTTTTTAAAAAATTCTTTCCAGGTATATTCTGAAATTCAAGAAGTATAAAAAAATTTAGCTCAAGAGTTCTGAAGTTCTAGTATATCCTTTTGAACTTTTATTCAACCAAGTATTAAATAATGTAGAGTTGATAAATTCTAAGATCTTTTAAAATAAAGAATTAAAAAGTTAAAAACTTACACTCAAGCTGTGCAACCACATCTCCAGGGTCTACTGCTTCAGGAAACACCTGATGTGGGAGCAGAAGGAAGGCGTATAAGTGAAGAAGGAAGGAAAGGAAGATGTAATGACTTTTCTTCTGAAATCTCACATTCTCCAAATATCGTTCCTTTCCCAGACAAACTTACGGTGTTAGCAAGAACAGTCCATTCCTCTCTGCATGCCATGATGCCATGATTACTATTTTTTAAATTTTATTGTAAAGATGATATAAATCAGGTAATGAGCATATTTGTTTTTGAACAGTGCAACCCTCTCCCTCATTCTCTCCCAGTTTTTCCCCATCTCAACTTCCCTCTCCCCCAAGTTGTATAGTTCATTTCCAACATAGTGTCTAGTGAGTATCACTGCTGAATTGGTTCACTCTTTGTCCCACTGTTTCTGTGCTTCCTCTTTTCTTCCCCAAATCAGATAAACTTACATATAAGACAAAGGATACAGAAATAAAAAAGTGACAAATGAAAATAAACAAAAGAAAAAGAACTTCAAATAGTACAATAAAAAAACCCTCTTGTTTCCATTTCTTGGAGTTTATTTCAATAAGCATCTTTTTATATGATCATAGGCTCACAGTTGAGCCTTTGTGATCCTCTCCTAAGAATATCCTCCTTTGTTCTCACTGTATGAGTGCTTCCTCAAAGAAACAACAACCCAATTAATAAGTGTGCTAAAGACTTAAAGAGAGACTTCTCAGAAGACAACATAAGAATAGTCAATAGACACATAGATATTCTACATCTCTAGCCATAAAAAAATGCAAATTGAAACAACATTGAGATTTTACCTCCCCTGGTTAGAATGGCCATTATCAAGAAAACTAACAATAACAGATGCTGGTGGGGATGTGGCCAAAAGGGAATGCTACTATAAATTTTATAGCTGGTTCTGCCTCCTCTCCAACCCCGTCTGTTAGAACTCTTTTCTTTATTAGCTACCATGATCATATTGGCCTTCTTGGTGTTCTCTTAAGTCAGCAAGATTATTCCTAACAAATATAAAGGCTTTTATATTTGCTATCCCTCTACCTTCAATGCCTTCCTCTTAGACTCTTCACATAATTGATAGCCTCACTCAGGCTCTGTTTAAGTGTTACTGTTTTCTCTGACCATTCTTCAAAATCTCTCTAACCTCCTTGATCTCCTTTAATTCTCTTTATGCACCTATCAAGCTCTAAATGGAGAACATTTTTCCTTGTTTAGCATAGGTCTTCAGCTGTAAATAGTGCTCTGTCCTATGGCATAGAGAAGGTACTGTGTAATTATGAGTAGGAAATAGGTAGGAACAATTTGGGTAGAAAACAAAGGAAAAAGTATGACAGAAACAAGAACTACAAGGTAGTCATAAACAAGATGTGGCATACTCTTACTTCTTAATGTCTTCTTTTCTTGTGTGAAAATTGTAATTCAGAATTCAAGGTAAATTGCTTTACATAAAGCCCACTAAGACAATGATGGAAACAAGCTTATTTACCAAGAAAAAGGCAACTGATTCAATGCATAATATAATGCATATTTATTCTGAAACTTCTCTATTTACAATTTTGGATTAATCCAAAGCATGGAGTCAGCAAATTTCTAATAATTTGTTTACATAAAAATTTGTCCAGTGATAAGTTTGGCTTTTACTAAAAAACTGGAGTCACTTGGCTTTTGTGTTTGTTTGCTAATACTTGGTCCAATATTTGAACTTACCTTTTCAAACACCATTCTGGCATTGAAGACCAGTGGAAAAGTGGCTGGGACACATTGTGTCTTTTTATACTGGCCAAACACACAGATGCTAAGGTAGATGTCCTCCTTGTCTTTCAGCACCACTCCTGGACAAGTTACCTGAAATAAATCAAGTGGATATTACTGCTTTATAAAATTTCTGTGAACTGTCCTACCAAAATAACTCGTCAAATATTACATAAGAAGAGAGGTCTGGCACTCAAATGGAAATACAAAGAGCGAGAGAAAGAGAGAATTCTACTGTTCATAGAATTTACTTTAAATGCCTTGATAATTTCCATTCCTTTGAGAAAGCTACACTTTTCCGTTGGGTTATTTGTTCCACATTTGAAACACTATGTACTTGTTCTTGAGACAGACATTAATCATTTTAAGCAGTCAGTCTTAGGCTCCAATTTTGCTGAATTGCTGATATAAAGTTATTCAGCATCATTTAATCACAAAGGATTAACACTCAGCAGAAATACAACATCATATTAGAGAACAAAAAATTGCAGATGAAAAGGACAAATCTGATCTTCATCACCCTAAATAGAAATTCATAGGTAATATATTCAAACGCAACATGACAAAAATTCTAACCTGGTGAATTGAAAGTGTTTTGCTTAATATAGTACTTTTATATATTAAATAGTACTTAACTGCCTTATTATGATTTGACAGAAAGCATAGGCAGAAAACCTGCACTTTCTACGTAATCCATAGCCCTTTCTTCAATCCCTGCCATATTCTACTGTCAATGGTCAATACCCTAATGGGATATTAAATGGTCCCCAAAATTTGAGTCCAACATAGTAATATTAAAATATGTCTTGGAACGGGAAACACTGTTCAAAAAGAAATGTACTCACTACCTGACTTCTGTAACTGTAACCCATTTGTACATTACCTTTACACTAATAATAAAAATAAATAAAATATATCTCATTCCCTAACAACATATTGAAGTATATATAGAAGCTGGGCATAATGAAAAGTGCCTATAATTCCAGCACTCAGAAGGCTGAAGCAGGAAGATTAAAAAGCCCAACACCAGCTTGAACTACACATCAAGTTTGAGGCTACTCAGGTCAATATTTTACAACTCTCTCAAGGTGAGATTATTATCCAGATTCATTTCAATGAAATAAATATATCTCACTTTCTGCTTGATTATAAAGTCCCTGAAAAAAGAAATTCTATTTTCTTTATCATTTATATCCAAAGATACGGGTTTTCATGATTAAGAAGGGTAGAGATTGTCTAGTACATCTCCAGATATTTTATAGAGAGAAACAATAAATACTCCCAAGGAAGTTTAGGTGATCTACTAACTTAAGATCACAAAGTGAATGAGCCATAATATTAAGGAAGATATCTGAAGTGCTTAGAGCATTGCCTGACTTATCAATAGTACTCAATACCATTATTGCTAGAATAAATTATCTGCCATCTTATCTGACTATTGCATTCAATAAGTGACTAAGACTTTCTGCCCCTTGTACATAGCAGTTAAGATATTGTTGATTATTTACATTTTACCATATTTTCTACCTTTCCCCCATTATGTTCACAACTGATCACAAACATCGAGGTTCTCAGCAAATCCTAGTGCATCAGGTCCAGTTCTTACTACATACCATTAAGAACAAAACTATCAGAGTCCCCCTAAATCTACCATTCCACAGAGTAGCTGCTATCCACTGAGACCAACAGCTATGGTTAGTCCAAATTCAGGTGGGCTACAAATGTAAAATACATACTGAGTTTTGAAGACTTGGTATAAAATGCAGGTAAAATATCTCAAAAAATTTGTATTAATTATTTATTGAATTACAATATTTTTAATATATTGATTTCAGTAAAAGGTATCATTTAAAATTAATTTCTTCTACTTCTTTTAACTTTTTATGTAAGCCTAGAAAATTTCAAATTGTATCTTTGGTTCAAATTTGAGACTCTGAGCATACATCTATTGGACAAAGCTAATCTATTTGTGATCACTGAGGACTGGGTCCTTTTCCAATCTCTAACACAGGCTAGAAACAAGATGTTTTTCTCATCTACACTGGTAAAAATTCTTCCATTATTAAAAAAAAAAAACCTCAGCAGCTTTACAGTTACAGAAAGCAAAAAAAGAGAATTTAAAATCGGAGAGGAAAAGTAGAAAATAATAAGCAAGGTGGTTAACTGAAGTCCTATTCTCGGTAATTTAAAAGGCTATAAACATGTTCAGAGTTGTTCTTACAGCCAGAAATGAGCTAGAAAGCTGTGTGCTCCCACTGTTAGCTGATATTAAAGCTCTGGGTAAGTTGGAAGTAGAGACTTAGTTTGGCAACTGCCTACAGGGGCACAAAAAGCATGCCCCCAAATGTACACAGAGATCTTTAGCAAAAGCTAAAGTTCAGGGCATTTATTTTATTTTATGTATCTATTTGTGCCAATCCTGGGGTCTGAACTTAGGGTCTGGGGCCTGCCTCTGAGCTTTTATGCTCAAAGCTAGTGCTCTACCACTTGAGCCACAGCTACACTTCTGGGTGTTCGGTGGTTACTTGCAGATTTTCCTGCCTGGTTTGGCTTCAAACCACAATCCTCAAATCTCAACCTCTAGAGTGGGTAGGATTAGGGCACGAGGCACTGGCATTCAACTTGGGTTGTGTCGTTTAAGGAAATGTTAAGCCCAACTGAAAGAAAGTCATGATTAGTGCAGACAATCTTGCCACAATCCCTTTTTTTGGTTACATAATCAGGCTGTTTGGTTGACTTTCTGAACAGCCAGAAGATATTATCTGTGTTGCAACAGTGTCAATAAAGGCTTCTCTAAACTATTTTTCCTTGCCTACTTCTGACTGTCATGGATAGTGAGGAGGCTGAGCTGGTAATATCAACAACAGAAAGAGAAAAACCTGTAGCTTGCACATGTGAGGGTGTTGGCAAGGCAGCTGCCTCCCTCCCTACAAAACAGGAAGTGACAAGCAGCTCTCACAACAGTGGAGACTGTCATGAGGAGTGAAGGCCAATAAGCCACAGTCAAGAATCCATGGCAAATTTCCCCTTAACTCAGGAACAAGACAAGGATGCCCACTCTCTCCACTTCTCTTCAATCTAGTATTAGAATGCCTAGCTACAGCAATAAGACAAGATGCAGACATAAAGGGGATCCAAATAGGGAAAGAAGAAATAAAACTCTCCATCTTTGCAGATGACATGATCTTGTATTTAAAGAATCCCATAGACTCCATTCCCAAATTACTCAAGCTGATTCAAAACTTTGGCAAAGTAGCAGGTTATAAAATTAACCCCCAAAAATCAATGGCTTTTCTGTATACCAACAATGAGAAAAGTGTGGCTGAAATTAGGAAAGCAACTCCATTTGTAATAGCCCCACAAAAAATAAAATACCTAGGAATTAACTTAACTAAAGAAGTGAAGGACCTCTATGATGAAAACTTTAAAATCTTGAAAAAGGAAATCAACACAGAACTTAAAAAATGGCAAAACCTCCCATGCTCCTGGATTGGAAAGATTAACATTGTGAAAATGGCAATACTTCCCAAGGCTATCTACAAATTCAATGCAATACCTATCCAAATTCCAACCTCATTCTTCAAGGAAATAGAAGAGGCAATCCAAAAATTCATATGGAACAAGAAAAGACCCCGAATAGCAAAAACGCTCCTCAACGGAAAGAACACTGCTGGAGGAATATCAATACCAAATTTCAAACTCTACTATAAAGCCATAGTAATCAAAACAGCTTGGTATTGGCATAAGAACAGACCTCAGGACCAATGGAATAGAATTGAAAACCCAGAAATGAACCTACAGACCTATAGCCATCTAATCTTCGATAAGGGAGCTAAAACAATAGAATGGAAGACAGACAGCCTCTTCAGTAAATGGTGCTGGCAAAACTGGTTAACTACATGTAGAAAACTAAAGCTAGATCCTTATATATCACCCTGCACCAGAATCAACTCCAAATGGATCAAAGACCTTGAACTCAAAGCAGACACTCTGAAAACATTACAGGATGGAATAGGAGAAACCCTGGGTCTCCTTGGCTCAGGCCGAAATTTTCTGAATAGAGACCCGGAAACACAACAAATCAAAGAAAGGCTGGACAAATGGGATTGTATAAGGTTGCAGAGCTTCTGCAGGGCAAATGACATAGCTAGCAAGATCAATAGAAAGCCCACGGACTGGGAGAAGATCTTTACTAGCCATACAACAGACAAGGGTCTCATATCTAAAATATACTTGGAACTCAAAAAATTAAACCACCCAACAACAAATCCTCAAAGAAACAACTGCCCAATAAGTAAGTGGGCGAAAGACTTAAAGAGAAGCTTCTCTGAAGAAGAAAGAAGGATGGCCAATAGACACATGAAGAAATGTTCAACATCCCTAGCCATAAAAGAAATGCAAATCAAAACAACATTGAGATATCACCTCACTCCAGTTAGAACAGCAAAAATCAAGAACTCTAACAACAACAGATGCTGGAGGGGATGTGGACAGAAAGGAACCTTACTTCATTGTTGGTGGGAATGTAAACTTGTTCAACCACTTTGGAAAGCAGTATGGAGGTTCCTCAAAAGACTCCACATAGAGCTCCCCAATGACCCAGCAATCCCACTTTTGGGCATTTACCCAAATGATCACAAACAAGGCCACACTAAAGCTACCAGCACAACTATGTTTATTGCAGCATTATTTACCATAGCTAAGACATGGAACCAACCCAGATGCCCCTCAGTAGATGAATGGATCAAGAAGATGTGGTATATATACACAATGGAATTCTATGCCTCCATCAGAAAGAATGACATTTCCCCATTTGTTAGGAAATGGAAAGGCTTGGAAAAAATTATATTAAGTGAAGTAAGCCAGGCCCAAAGAAACATAGGTCCCATGGTTTCCCTTATTTGCAATATCTAGTATAGGTATGAGTCAAGCGGAAAAAGTCAGATAATGTGATGTTAGGAAAACGAAACCTCAAATATGTATTTTAATGTTTTTGTTTCTTTCATGCATGTGTTTCTAACGCATTTATAAGATTATTTCTTTGTTGCTTTGTATGTCCCTCCCCCACAGTGTAACCCCCACTTTCACTATAT